AAATGCGCTAGAACCCTCAAGCTCTACAAGTTGATTTTCTAGTCTCAGTTTTGAAACTTATTCACAATTTACTAACTCAAATCACCTCTTCAAGCCACCCACTTTCAACCATCTACAAAATGCGCTAGAACCCTCAAGCTCTACAAGTTGATTTTCTAGTCTCAGTTTTGAAACTTATTCACAATTTACTAACTCAAATCACCTCTTCAAGCCACCCACTTTCAACCATCTACAAAATGCGCTAGAACCCTCAAGCTCTACAAGTTGATTTTCTAGTCTCAGTTTTGAAACTTATTCACAATTTACTAACTCAAATCACCTCTTCAAGCCACCCACTTTCAACCATCTACAAAATGCGCTAGAACCCTCAAGCTCTACAAGTTGATTTTCTAGTCTCAGTTTTGAAACTTATTCACAATTTACTAACTCAAATCACCTCTTCAAGCCACCCACTTTCAACCATCTACAAAATGCGCTAGAACCCTCAAGCTCTACAAGTTGATTTTCTAGTCTCAGTTTTGAAACTTATTCACAATTTACTAACTCAAATCACCTCTTCAAGCCACCCACTTTCAACCATCTACAAAATGCGCTAGAACCCTCAAGCTCTACAAGTTGATTTTCTAGTCTCAGTTTTGAAACTTATTCACAATTTACTAACTCAAATCACCTCTTCAAGCCACCCACTTTCAACCATCTACAAAATGCGCTAGAACCCTCAAGCTCTACAAGTTGATTTTCTAGTCTCAGTTTTGAAACTTATTCACAATTTACTAACTCAAATCACCTCTTCAAGCCACCCACTTTCAACCATCTACAAAATGCGCTAGAACCCTCAAGCTCTACAAGTTGATTTTCAGGTCTTGTGGTCAGGCTTGGAGGCAGTATTATATACACCTCGAACGTCACCGTTGTAATTATTTTCCCTCTTCAATCTCAGCTATTCTCCAGTGACCATACGCCAGATTTTCAACTCCGTTAGGTAAAATATATCTTTTGTCGTCATAGCAACTCAGTGACACCTTGTTTATCTCGTATGATCCTAGTTTGTGCCCAACACACCTAATGGTCTGCATTTTGTGGTGTAGCTGGGTTCCACCTTTCAAGACATCCCTATAGTTCTTGTGTTCGATGTTGTGTTTTACTACTGACTTCTTCACACCCTTTGCGGTTTTCCCACCACCCCCACCTTCCTTGGTGTAGCTGTACATTTTGCTTCTCAGTCCAACGAATTCTGTTATTGGTACTCCAGCTGCCTCGTCCTTCATTTTTCCTATTGCTTTTTTGTTTTCACCGAAGTAGAATTTTGACTCTTTAGGGTAGTCACTATTATCGAACATTTCTTTACTCTCGAAGAGATCCTCATAGATGTCGTCGGTCTCTATTTCGTACATTAGACTGTCGGTGTCAGTGAACAGTAGCCTGGCTCTTTCATCGTATTTCTTCTTAATGAAGTTGTAGTGGAAGTCATACATCAGGGTTTTTGACAAGTCCAATATACACATTCCAACGTAAGCTGGTTTGTTTAGAGTCAAGTTCTCTTTTATTCTTCTAACTGCAGTCAGGTTCTCATTGAATATCTTAGTACTAACAAAGGTTGGTTTTAAAGATATTTTACCAGCTTCTTGGGGTTGCTCACGAGTTGTATATCTACTCTTTTCCTGAGATTTTCCATTGTCTTTCCAAACACTGAGTTATTCATTAGTTTGAAGAAGTTCTTTTCAAAGTCGTTCTTTGACTCCTTCCTCATGTTGGTATTGAAGTCAATGTACTCCTTCAACCAAGGCGACTGGTTGAATTTCAGCGCCTTATGTATCTTGGTGACTTTGAATCCGAGCTTCTTGTATAACATCAGGTTCTTGTAGTGAACCACATAGTTTTTCTTTCCATTCAAGTTTGTGATTAGTTTGTGGATGTTCCCAGACGTCAGGTTGAATTTCTCCTTCACCTCCCTACAGTACCCCGATAGCATGCTGTCCTCTATCATCATTCTTTCTGGTGCTAGTGGGTACCCATTGTGGAGGTCGTGAAGTTCCTTCGGATACTCAAGGTCGACCTCAAGTATTAGGCCTGTGTTGTATATCTACTCTTTTCCTGAGATTTTCCATTGTCTTTCCAAACACTGAGTTATTCATTAGTTTGAAGAAGTTCTTTTCAAAGTCGTTCTTTGACTCCTTCCTCATGTTGGTATTGAAGTCAATGTACTCCTTCAACCAAGGCGACTGGTTGAATTTCAGCGCCTTATGTATCTTGGTGACTTTGAGTCCGAGCTTCTTGTATAACATCAGGTTCTTGTAGTGAACCACATAGTTTTTCTTTCCATTCAAGTTTGTGATTAGTTTGTGGATGTTCCCAGACGTCAGGTTGAATTTCTCCTTCACCTCCCTACAGTACCCCGATAGCATGCTGTCCTCTATCATCATTCTTTCTGGTGCTAGTGGGTACCCATTGTGGAGGTCGTGAAGTTCCTTCGGATACTCAAGGTCGACCTCAAGTATTAGGCCTGTGTTGTCTGGTACCTTTTCATGGTCTAGCCTCTCCTTATTCCTCAGTGTTATCCACCTGAATCCACCGGTTGGTAAGTTCTGACTCATGGCCCAACCATACAAGTTGTTGGCGTCCAGGTAGATTATGTGCTTGTTTGACTTTTCCTCATCATAGTCACTCATATGTTTGTTGTTTGCCTCTGAGTGTCTGTGGGCAATGTATGACACTCCGCCCCTCATTCCCCTCTCTATGAACTGAAACATGTCAACGTCTGACATTAGCTCCAGTTTTACTCCAGTCATTTTTAGCATTGAGTCCCAGCTAAGACCTGGGGATGAGAAGTAGTGGCATGGGTCCAACTTATAGTGTTTAAGGCATTCTTTCCTGAAGTTCTCAAACACATCAGCTAGTATCAGAACATCAGTCTTCAGATACAGATCGTGGTAGTCTCCCATGTTCTTCATCCCAAACACTTTCCACACTGTTTTTGCTCTTTCGTAGTCTTAGTCGCTGATGTCTGAGTTGTTCATGGTACTATGGAAGTCTGACTTTTCAGGAAGTTTTTCCTCCTCGAATTTTTCAAATGAGTCCATATACTCATATGGGTAAACCCCCTTCTGCTTTGTGAAAGAGGTTGTCTGGTAGGTAGCTAGCAAGGTTAGCTAGACTTCTATCCATGAATTGGAATGAATCTATGAAGACCAAGTTTCTCCCCAATGTGAAAGCCATGTACTTCTCCATGTTGTTGGGGATCACACTTATCCTCATATCGAACTTACCTATTTCCTACATTATCAGGTGGCTATCATAACCTCTGAGATTGTGGAACACAACCGGTACTTTCTCAACCATCCTGAAGTTTAGATTGCAGGCTTTGTGTGCTGACCCTCTGTATTTGCCTGTTGCGTGGCAGTGGTCTCTTACTTTTGTGTCTTCATCCTTATACTCAACCCCACAGATGGAACACTTGTCTGCCTTCTCGAAGTTTATCAGGTCTTCTTTCGATAGTTTCATCTCTACATTGAAGACTCCTTTTGTTACTTCCCTACAGAGTTTTGACTCTTTCAGCATACTTTTTATGAAGTGGTTGATTGAGTCCTTTCCCCTGTGGTGCTTGTAAGGTTTGGAGTAGCTGTCATCGAAGTGACACACAACTTTGTACCCATAGCCGCAACATGTGTGGTTGTGGTACTTGTGGGTGTATGATTCAAGCTCGTCTGGGCTTTCTCCGTTGACCTTTTCCAGGATAGCCTCGAAATCAGCATATATTGTGAATGGAACTGGCAGCTGCCTGTGGAAGTTCTTGAATTTTATGGATGAGTTTATCCTAGGCATGGTTACCGTTTGTTTTCCATTCACTTCCATGCAGATTTCGATGTGCTTGTCGAGTATGTCCTCGGTTGTGAACGACTGGAGGCAGAACATACAGAAGTGTTTTCTACACCTGTTTTTGCTTGCTCTGAACATCATCTTGTTGAAGTCCTTTATTAATACGTAGTGGTTGGTTGTCTCATTAGATATCATTAGGAGTTCCATGTGGTCGTCGAACTTCTCACCTGACACGTATATGGGGAAGAACTTTCTTGAGTCGGAGTATCCAAACACTGACACCCTTATCTTGTTCTGTCTCTCTATTTTCGGTATGTCTCTGGTTCCAACTGGGAAAGTTATCCCACTGTAGTCGAGACTTTTCACCAGCTTTCTGTCGCTTTTCTTTATTCTCTGTGGGTCCTTTTCCTGAGGGTTGAGGTGTCTGATGTGACACCACCTGAAACACTCATTGTCGTTGTTCTTAATGTTGACCAGACCCTGCTTTGGGTTGTTGAGTTTGGTGTCAAGCTTAATATATGACTTCCCACTGAGAGGTGAGTATTTCGTTACGTTTACATAGTGGCTTATCAGGGTTCCTACCCTCCAGTTGCTTCCTCTTTCCTGGAAGTTAGAGATTCTGGCGACTATCAGCTCTGTGTTCCTCTTGACGCTCTCGGGTGCTGCTCCGTCTTCTGTTAGCGTTGATGTGTAAGAGTTAAAGAAGAAAACCCCTTCTTCTTTGTTGGAGTCGGACGCCATTCCCTTTACCATCTTGATCTTCAACACTTCAGAGAACTTAAGTCCGCCAAGGTCTAGCAGCTGCTGTAGGATTAGGTCTTCCATTACCTCCCTTGTTCCAATCATTTGCCACTGGGGGTCGTTGCTGACTATGCCGATCCAGAAGGACTTGGTACTTCCCTTGAGGGCTGTTTTCAACCGATTCACCGTTGCCTTTTCACCGGCCATTGGAAATGTTCTCATAGTGTTCAACAACTTCCTTCACGGTTTTTCTGGCTTCTTCATCGGGTTTCTTCGGTGGGAGGGGTGGTGCTTCACCGCTAACTGTCTTCTCTGAGTTCGGTTCCTTCTTTACTCAGAGGTTGTGCCTCTTTAGTGGGATGGGCGGTGCTTCTCCACTAACTATCTTCTCCAGGTTATCCGACTTATTCCTGCAGTATTTCAGTTCAGCTTTCAGTGCCCTAACCTCCTCTGTTAGTCCAGCTATGACCTCATCCCGCTCCTGGTCGGTTCGCGTGTTGTCTGACATTTTTTCCACTATACTTTTACTTAGGATTTTTCTCTTTAAGTCAAAGTCACTTTTTTCACTTACAGGAAAAAACGCTGACTCAGCATTTTTACTAGTCGTCATTTTCCACTATACTTTTACTTAAGATTTTTTCTTTAAGTCAAAAGTTTTTTCTGCCTATATGTTTTTTTTGCTTTTCTCGTTTTCCACTTTTCGTAATAGGCGCACCCTGAGCCTGACCAACCTAGTTCTGGGTACACCACACCGAATAGTCTGTCTTCTAGATTGTCTAGTGCTTTTGATGTTTTCAGGTCAGGAATTGGTGTTCTGGTTTTCACACCATTCTTACTGCAAATCCTTGCTAGGTAAAAGCTATACTTTACCATGTTCCTACCCGCTAATAAGTTATTTCTTTCAATACACCTTACTATCTCCTGGAAGTTGTACGAGACCAGCTGCCAGTGGGAGCTGTGTACGTAAGTCCTCATGAGTCTGTTGAACCACCTTACCCTACAGTGCTCACTCCTTTGCTTTAGGTAGTCATCCTTGTTGTGCTCATAGCTGACGTTGTCAGACAGGTGTGCATCCATGACCTGACCGCAGTTGGTGCATACTGTGTATCCTGACTCCTCAGCTTTTTCCCTACTAGTGCATCTCTCACATCTTCTGATGGCTTGATTGTGGAAGTTTCTCCTACGCTTCTTTATTCTTTCAGCCACATGTTCGTCTATATTAGATATTAACTCCTCAAGTGTTTCACTTTTTCTGGAAATTTTGTCGAACTCCTCGTCGTTAATCTGAACTAGCCTGTTTATTAGCTCCCGGTTTTCCATCTTTCTCTATAGTCTATTATATGACTTTATTTACTAAGTAGCCAACACCGACCCCAGTTACAACACCAACGATTGCCTGGTATTTTTCCATCTCGGGACTGGGTTTGTAGAAGTCCCTGAGTTTCGGCTCTTCTGTGAACTTGGTTCCAGTATACATCACAGTTCGTATTTTTCTCAGAAGTTCCAGGGACTGATTCGTGTGCTTTATATCAGCGTTTGCGTCTGCTAGCTCCTGCCTTAGTTTCTGGATGCGGTCTCTTTCCCTTATTTCGTTTTCACTAAATAGCTCTTTAGCTTTCGCTAGGTCTTCGAGTGCTTTATTATGTCTTTTCATTTCTTCTTCATACCCATTCTTGTTGAGGTGTTGGAACAGGAACCCTGCCCCAGCAAACGCTAGCGCGTTGAATACACCGCTTACTACTACACTTGCCATCAATATGATAAGTTATAACTTACTTATTACTGAAGGGGTCAGTTGGTAGATATTTATTCTTTTGTAAGTACTTCACTAGCAGCGCTGAAATACTTACAGAAACTGCGAGTTTACCAAACCCCTTTAGGCTCTCTGGAGTCCCCAGCGGTTCCTTTAGCAGTTTCTTCGAAGCCATCGATACTGCCACTGCTCCGGTTGTGATTAGCACTGCGTCGTACACTTCATTCATTGACTCTTTCTCAACTGACATTGTTTGTATATTATAGTGTATGTTTTATTTCCCTACTCCAAGCTGTCGAGCGACCTCTTGATTTCCACTGTTTTTTCTTCGTTTTTGGTTTCCTTCACTCGGGCCTCCTCCCTCCTGTTGTCCTTATAGCTGAAGTAGAGAGCGGCGACTCCGACGAGTATCCCGATACCTGCAATTAGATGGCTGGTGTTGAGTGACACACTATCCTTTTCCTCAGATTCTGCCATTTTCATTTTCTTCCTCTCTTTCGCCTGCCTACTAATAGCTGCTAGTCTCTTACCAGCCTCGACCCTACGTGGATCCTTTGGTTTATCGCTTGTTATTTTGATGGCTTCCTTGTTATCACTCATTCTAGTTATACTTTAACTTATGTTTTTCTCAAATCTACTTACCAGTTAACTCAGATCTACTTACCAGTTAACTCAAATCTACTTGCCAGTTAACTCAAATCTACTTACCAGTTAACTCAAATCTACTTACCAGTTAACTCAAACACACCTGATTTTATGGAAGTATTTCTCATGACTACTCAGCGACTTTTCGCTTAGGAATCCCCTACTACAGTACTCACACTTTATTCTCAGGTCTTTGAAGTACTCGATCACCTCTCTTACTATTAGGTCATAGTCATTCGAGACCATACACCTGTAGCCGTTACGTCTGTATTTTTTAAGTAAATCTCCCTGTTCCCTACTAAGTGATCCAGTTCCCTTTGGAGTCTTAAGCTCGATACAGAATCCTGTGTGTCTCTTGCTTGGGTTTCCAATTATTATGTCTGGTTGACCTTTCTGGTATCCTTTCCTCCAACTGGTTATTCTTTTACCTTCTGTGTCCTGTAGTTCACCAAGTCCAGCAATTATTAAGGCGTCGTGGTAGAATCTCCGTATGTACGCAACAACTTTTGTGTGTAGGTCAAACTCACTCTCAATCTTAAATAGTAAATCACGTTGGTTCAGTTTTATCTGACCATGTTTTCTTAAGGTTGGTAGCACAAAGCTGAATACCCACTTCTGGAATTCCCTCGCTTCGTCAAGTTTTGATTTCATGACAAGTGCATAGAAACCGGGCTCCGTGATGTAAATTGTCTCTGGTTGACCGCCTTCAAAGGGGCCCCGAAACGGGGCCCCCTTTAGATCCCTCAGCGTTGATTTAAATTCTTCATCCACATGCCTTTTAATAGCATGCTTAGGTTTCACGTACCCCAGAGCTTTGGCTATGTCGTAACCCTTAAGGTATGTCTCTCACTTGGTGTGAGTATGGCTTTCACACTTGCTTCTGGATTTTCACATTTGAACACCATTTGTTTCAGACTCATTTTCTCTATACTATTATAATACATTTTTGTTTTTAAGTAAAATCTTAGATAACCTCCAGATTATTTAAGGTTTACTTAATAAAAGTTAATTGAATGTAAGTGTTTCTCATGTTATGTATTTCGGTGTCAACCGTAACCCGTAGTTCTCTTACTCCTCTGGGTCCTCAAGTATATCGATGTGGTCATCTATTGTTCCTTGTGTAGTCTTCTTATTCCTCTAGGACCTCTTTCGAGGAAGACTTCGTATTCAGTGTGTGTGTAGTACCACCAAGCCAGTCTGCTTAGTTGTGACTCTAGTCCCCTGTCGTTGCTTCTCCAAACCTGACTGTCCTCACCTAGTGATGTTAGGCGGTCGTATGTTTGGTTTATCCATCTTTGTATTTCGTGGTCCCTTCCACCTGTATTGAAGTTATTCTGCTCATAATCCCTGAAAAATGCTTCTAGTCGTCTAAACCTTTCGTTGTCCTCTGCTGTTACTTCAAGTCTTTGCTCTACTCTTCCAGTTAGCAGTGATATCTCATTAATCGTTTCTATTACTACGTCGGAGCTGGATAGTGTTGAACCATTCATCAGTTCCATTGCATTCCTTCTCATCATTGATAGGAACATTAGGAATCCTCTAGCCTCTTCCACGTGGTCCATGCTGTCGTCTCCCGAGTGCTCCTCGTCTTCTATGTCCTCTCTACAGTATGGGCACTTGTTGGATCCTGAAGTAAGTAGCTCCCTCAGACACCAGCTGTGTATTCTGTGTGTGCACCTTAACACCTCACATTCCTTGAAGGTGGTTTCCATACAAATTGGGCACTCTGAGTCCATACCCTCCTTCCTACACTTGTGGTTGTCTTTGAGTTCCCTTTTCATACAAATGTCACATCCATCACAGTGGAATTTTTCTGACTTACCCTTCCTACATATTCCACACTTGACGCAGTGGAAGTTGTCGTTTTCGTTGTTTAATGATAAACACAGTATTCCAGTCACATGCTTTTCAGAGAACGTCTCTCCACAGCTACAGTTCTCGTTGTGACAGGTGTGGCATCCCCAGTATGAACCGCATCCAGTGAACTTTACTTTGCACTGGTTCGCTGTGTGTTCGCACGGGTTCGCTGTGTGTTCGCACGGGTTTGCTGTCATTTTCACTATAATATTAGTTCTCATTTTTTCTTTAAGTAGAAAACACACTTTGAAAAATAAAAACCGCCCTATATGTTTTTCTTTTTTTTCTGTAAAATCTTAGATGACCGCTGGATTATTTAAGGTTTTACTTGAAGTTTACTGAAAGGTAGTGTTTCTACCGCACTAGTTTAGGTGGTGTGTTAATGTATATTTCTCTGTTGATTATTCTCATGAACATCCCTGGATGTTTTTTTTTACCCGTTTTCATTTTCTTTTTTATTTTGAGACTCACTCTTAATTTCCAGCTTCTCTATATGTTTTTCCTCAGGGTGGACTTCCCTGAAGTTGGTCCACATGATCTTGTGTTTTGCTACATGCTTAACTATTGTCAGTCCACCAGATAGCATACCCATGAGAGGCACGTATGGTGTTATCGACTCGACCGCCTTATACACATCTCTCCTAAGAAGCTCATCCCTTGAAAGCTCAAACTCTAATTCCTTAGGATTTTCCACAGCGTCAAGCCCACCTAACACTAACGCGAACTTACTAATGATAAGGTCTGTTAGGAATTCGTTTGCTTTCCTCTGTCTGTTCCTATCGTGCTCTCTATGCATTTTTTCAATTATTTTTCTGTTCGCCTTTCTTATATATTTTACGCTCTTATCTATCTCACCATCTTCACTTAGTCTAATAAGCTCACATCTTTTCCTTTCAACCTCTGACTCTCCTTCAGTATCACTTTTGTTATCCTCAGGTGTTGGTGTTTCACCTGCGGCCTCCTCTATCTCAACTGCGGCTGACTCAAGATCTTCAGCCAGCTCCTCAACTGTTGCTGGTTTTGACTTGCGTTTTACCATCACTACTATAAGTTATATTATACTCGAATGGATGCCTTAGCTTTACAACCAGTGCGGTGTACTTGTTTTCTTTAAGTTCCTTTATTATCTTCAGAGTTTCATCCTGCGGTACCCCGCTAAGGAAGTCGTCCATTATGGCTCTCATGTCGTGCCTGTTGGGATTGTAGAAAGTGACGAGTTTACTTATGTTTTCCCTGTACGGTTTTGCAACTGAAGTCAGCTGTTGGGTTATCAAGATAGTGCTCAATCCGTAGTGTCTAGCGCTGAATGCTAGATTCACAACTTCAGATACTCTGTTCTTCACATCTTGTGTACCAGCACAGTCATCTATTATTATCAGAGTGTTCGAACCCCTGTATTCGTTTGAAACAACACTTAAGTGGCAGTCCCGCTAAGAGCGGTCCGATGACTTTGACTTCGGAAAATAGATTTCCTTTATTTTTTGTGTGTTGAAAGGCATTGATATCGGCAAGTTAAGACACAATTCAGGTTCCCTGTTCCAAAAAATAAGAGCATTTGAATAAATTGTGAATAAACGACAGCGACTTGACGGCACACCGGTTTTTCCTTCTTGCTCGGTCTACAAAATTACACTAAAATCGAAGCCTGAGATCTCCAAATGGGGACCTAAAATTACGCTGAAATGTGCTTGGCTGTAATGATTTATACTTATTTTCAGAAGATCTGAAGAAAAACCTGCGGGTATCAATCTGTATTTGGCGCGAGTTAAGATTTTCTGGAGCCCATAATCAATGATTTTTGCATAATTTATAGCTAATTAACATATTTCTTGAGAGGCGCTAAAAGTAAACAATTTCTTTCTGACTAACATATCTCAGATGAAAGAGACTACCACAGCTAGTAATACCCTTTTTGTAAATATAGTCGTTTCCTGACACGCTGAGAGAGCTTTGTTTTTTAATGTTATGCCACATTTATTCAGTCTGACCAGATTCATAAATGTCACGAACTTGTATATTTAAAAAATATCAGTACCACAAATCAGAATTCAGAAAGACCGATTATTCTTTCCTTGATTCAGTTGATGGATTTAGTTGATTGATTTAAAAAACTATAAGTATAATAGAACATTCCATGTGTTTCCATTGCCCCTATATAGGGCTAGAATTTTTATCAATATGTTCTATTTTTCTGTGGCGACGGCATATTAACAAAATACGACACAAAAATGTACATTCGAATTTATGACCGACATGTCAGAATGTTATTTATGAAGTTTGAATTGAATTTACTTAACGCGAAATAAATACTAAAATAGGAATTTTCTATGCTGGGTTAGTAAAAGAAAAAGCATAATTTTAATTGTATGTAATTTCGATGAATACTATTAAAAAAATTATACGCATTGTTTATATAAATTAGCTAACATTTACACATTTATTACGATAGTAGCGACGTTTGTTTTAGCCATGTAACAAAATAAACTATAAGCATTCTGATCAGTTATTTAACAAAAATATCAAACTTGTGTCTTGTGAATTTTAATTCACAAACTTTTGAAATTTATTCTCAGCTATGGAGCTCACGAATATATTTTTTTTCAAAGAAAAATATTGAAATTCGATTATTTATAAAATTGATATTTTTGTTAAAAATGTTAGCTAATTTATATAAACAATGCGTATAATTTTTTTTATAGTATTCATCGAAGTTACATACAATTAAAATTATGCTTTTTCTTTTACTAACCCGGCATAGAAAATTCCTATTTTAGTATTTATTTCGCGTTAAGTAAATTCAATTCCAACTTCATAAATAACATTCTGATATGTCGGTCATAAATTCGAATGTACATTTTTGTGTCGTATTTTGTTAATATGCCGTCGCCACAGAAAAATAGAACATATTGATAAAAATTCTAGGCCTATATAGGGGCAATGGAAACACGTGGAATGTTCCATTATACTTATAGTTTTTTAAATCAATCAACTATTAAAATCAATCAACAGAATCAATGAAAGAATAATCGGTCTTTCTGAATTCTGATTTCTGGAATATTTTTGAAATATACAAGTTCGTGACATTTATATGAATCTGGTCAGACTGAATAAATGTGGTATAACATTCAAAAACAAAGCTCTCTCAGCGTGTCAGGAAAAGCACATTATATACGACTATATTTACAAAAAGGGTATTACTAGCTGTGGCAGTTTCTTTCATCTGAGATATGTTAGTCAGAAAGAAATTGTTTACTTTTAGCGCCTCTCAAGAAATATGTTAATTAGCTATAAATTATGCAAAAATCATTGATTATGGGTAGTTCCTCGGGTAGAGGAGAAGTGATCACGTGATCGGCTAGTTGTGTTGTTTGTGGCGTCAGATATAACCAAATCCCTATCTCTAAGCCTAATCCTTACCCTAACCCTCACCCTAACCCTAACCCTTACCCTAACCCTTACCCTAACCTCAAAACTAATCGCTATAACTAACTGATGACGTAGTCTGTGATGCAAATTCTTCTACCCGAGGATGTACCCTTGAATATGGGCTCCAGAAAATCTTAACTCGCGCCAAATACAGATTGATACCCGCAGGTTTTTCTTCAGATCTTCTGAAAATAAGTATAAATCATTACAGCCAAGCACATTTCAGCGTAATTTTAGGTCCCCATTTGGAGATCTCAGGCTTCGATTTTAGTGTAATTTTCTAGACCGAACAAGAAGCAAAACCGGTGTGCCGTCAAGTCGCTGTCGTTTATTCACAATTTATTCAAATGCTCTTATTTTTGGAACAGAGAACCTGAATTGTATCTTAACTTGTTGATCTAGTTGAAATTTGGAAATAGTCAGGCGTTTTGACACAGCGCGGCCTACAATTTACCGAAATTCAACCTTCGATTTTGCTTGAAATTAGCTCTGCACGGGTGAAATGAGTTTCGGCGTCTAGCGAAGCCATAAAAAAGAATTTTCGAAAAATAAATTTATTTTGGACACTTGTATACCAATGCCTTTCAACACACAAAAAATAAAGGAAATCTATTTTCCGAAGTCAAAGTCATCGGACCGCTCTTAGCGGGACTGCCACTTAACAACTACTTTGGTTTGACCATACTCACACTTAAATCTCTCCTATGCTTTCTTATATCCTTCAGAACGAACTTGTGCCATATGGCACTATATTTCCTTTCGGCTATACTGAAGCAAACGACCCCTCCCCCTAAATTAAAAACGCAAGAAGATAAAATTAGAGCTAAAATTTGCAAAAGAAGAGCAACTTAGACATGAAATACAACAACAAGAAAGAGAACTTTGGGAAGAAAGATTACACACAGAGGTAAAGATGACAGAAAATACGTTGGAGATGGAAAGAGCAGCTAAAGCTACCAAAGCCAAGTTACTGCAGTTAAAGAACACACCATTTGAAGGAACTCCCACCGATTGGATTAGGTTGGAGAACATGTTCCTTTCCCAAGTCGACCGACAACCAATAGCTGATGTAGAAAATTTTGTTTTTTGTATGACAGCAAATTTTTGTTGAAACATACGGCAAATTTGGCGGTGAAGTTTCAAGTCAAAATGGCATGTTTGGAAGAAGATTTAATACGTGATTATTTCAGTCAAGGATACGAAAAAAAGAAATCATTTTGATGTTGAATAACCATATTCAAATGAGCGTAAAATAAATATGTAAAAAGGCGCAGTCGTTTCAAAGACTTTTCAAAATGAATGTCCAGGAGGTACCTCAAATTCTTTGCTATGCTTTTCTCTATTCTTTGCTATTCCTCATTTTAGCGATTCATTTTAGCAATTCATTTTAGCATTTAGGCCGCGCAGAAAATTTAACGCTTTATATTGACTGGGACTGAAAGATAGAGTATGTTTTGTGGACCCTAGACTCGGCTTCGCCTCGAGAAACTGTGGCGGTCTCGGGTCCACAAAACATACCGATTCCCTTGGGGTTTTTTCATTCATTATTAAATGTTGAATATTTTTCGGTTGGCTTTAACCATAGGCATGGCCTATCGAAGGGAAGATGCTGTGAATCTCATTAGTCTCATTAGAATAATGTCTATGAGCGAATAGTCAACGAGTCGAAGCCGAGTTGACTATTCGCTCAGAGACAACGAGGATTGAGTTGTCTAATTGTTTTAGTATCAACCACATAAACAAAACTAAATTTTAAATTTGATTTTTATGTAAAATAATAACTTTTTAACGAAATGAGCGTTTAAATGGCTCGTAGTTACTAAAACATGGAACGACCCACAACGATCCACAACAACCCCACAACAACCCACAAGGACCCCATAACGACCCATTACGACCCCACAACGACCCCACAACGACCCCACAACGACCAACAAGACCCCACAACGACCACACAACGAGCCACGACCACCCAAAACCAGCCACAACGA